GGTCTCCCCTCAGCCTCCTCTTCTCCAGGCTAAACAACCCCAGCTCCCTCAGCTGCTCCTCATACGACTTGTGCTCCAGACCCTTCACCAGCTTCGTTGCCCTCCTCTGGACACGCTCCAGCACCTCGATGTCCTTCTTGTAGTGAGGGGCCCAAAACTGAACACAGTACTCGAGGTGCGGCCTCACCACTGCCGAGTACAGGGGGACGATCATTTCCCTGGTCCTGCTGGCCACACTATTCCTGATACAGGCCAGGCCTTCTTGGCTACCTGGGCACACTGCTGGCTCATGTTCAGGTGGCTGTTAACCAACACCCCCAGGTCCTTTTCCTGGGCTACTCTCTAGCCATTCTTCCCCAAGTCTGTAGTGTTGCATGGGGTTGTTGTGACCCAAGTGCAGGACCTGGCACTGACCCTTGATGAACCTCATACAATTGGCCTCAGCCCATCAGTCCAGCCTGTCCAGATCCCTCTGCAGAGCCTTCCTACCCTCCAGCAGATGAACGCTCCCGGCCAGCTTGGTGTTGTCTGCAAACTTACTTACTTACTCGATCCCCTTGTCCAGATCATTGATAAAGATATTAAACAGAACTGGCCCCAAAAGTCCCGGTAAACAACATCCACAGCCTTCACCCATCCACCAGGCGGGTCACCTTGTCATAGAAGGAGATCAGGTTCGTCAGGCAGGACCTGCCTTTCATAAATCCATGCTGACTGGGCCTGATCCCCCAGTTGTCCTATACATGCTGCGTGATGGCACTCAGGATGATCTGCTCCATAACCTTCCCCGGCACCGAGGTCAGGCTGACAGGCCTGTAGTTCCCCGGATCCTCCTTCTGGCCCTTCTTGTAGACGGGCATCACGTTTGCTAACCTCCAGCCCACTGGGACCTCCCCAGGTAGCCAGGACTGCTGATACGTGATAGAAAGTGGCTTGGTGAGCACCTCCGCCAGCTCCCTCAGTACCCTTGGGTGGATCCCATCCGGCTCCACAGACTTGTGTGTGTCTGTGTGGTGTAGCAGGTCGCTAACCATTTCCCCTTGGATTACGGGGGCTTCATTCTGCCCCTTGTCCCTGTCTTCCAGCTCGGGGGGCTGGGTACCCCAAGAACAACTGGTTTGACTATTAAAGACTGAGGCAAAGAAGGCATTAAGTACCTCAGCCTTTTCCTTGTCCTCTGCCACTATGTTTCCCCCTGCATCCAATAAAGGATGGATATTCTCCTTAGCTCTCCTTTTGTTGCTAAGGTATTTGTAGAAACGTTTTTTGTTGTCTTTTACAGCAGTAGCCAGTTTAAGTTCCAGATGGGCTTTGGCCCTTCTAATCTTCTCCCTGCATGACCTCACGACGTCCTTGTAGCCCTCCTGAGTCACCTGCCCCTTCTTCCAAAGGTCGTAAGCTCTCCTTTTTTTCCCCGGAGTTCCAGCCAAAGCTCTCTGTTCAGCCAGGTCAGTCTTCTCCCCTGCCGGCTCTTCTTTTGGCACATGGGGACGGCCTGCTCCTGCACCTTTAAGATTTCCTTCTTGAAGAATGCCCAGCCTTCCTGGACTCCTTTGCCCTTCAGGACTCCCTCCCAAGGGACTCTATCAACCAGGCTCCTAAACAGGTCAAAGTCTGCCCTCCAAAAGTCCAAGGCAGCAGTTCTGCTGACCCTCCTCATCACTTCTCCAAGAATCAAAAACTATCATTTCAGGATCGCCATGCCCAAGACGGCCTCCAACTGTCACATCACCCACCAGGCCTTCTCTGTTGCAAACAAGAGGTCCAGCGGGCACCTGCCCTACTTGGCTCCCTCACCAGCTGTGTCAGGAAGTTATCTTCCATACACTCCAGGAACCTCCTAGGCTGTTTCCTCTCTGCTGCATTGTATATCCAGCAGACATCTGGTAAGCTGAAGTCCCCCATGAGAACAAGGGCTAGCAATCGTGAGACTTTTCCCAGCTGTTTATAGAATACTTCATTCTCACCCTTGATCCCTGCCTGAGCTAGTGCAGCCATGCCCATGCCTGGACACGTACCCTGCTGGTCTAAATCCTCATCCTGACCTGCTCTGATCTTCCTGCTCAGGTACTGTGGGACTGTTCCTTTGTCAGCGAGGCTGCTGCTCCTGCCTGCCTTGCTGTGACTCAGCTTCCAGCTTGCTCTTCCTTTCAGAGCAGCCTGCCCTTGCTGCTCCCTGACAAAGGGCCCACTCAGCTCACCTTGCTCATCTCTGCAGTCAGGAGAGACTGCATTCACATTTACAAGCACAGCAAGAATAAATTCTGAAAACATCTGCAGGGTGTAGATGCCTCTAACGTCTGAAATGGCAGGACAACTAAGTTTTCTCACTTGCTAGTTTTATCCACATTCTTATCAAGGACCACACACCCCCCTACAGTTAGGCCTGTTTCCGTGTTGTTTGTTTGGGGTTGTTTTTTTTTTACCCCATTTGGAACAGCCATAGGTCATTTTTGTGTCCTTCTTCCATGCTCCTACTTCTTTGCCCAGACAGAGCATGAACCCGTTCACTCCTGAAGTTGCTCTTGTCCTGTCTGCAGGCCATAACGCACTTGCAGAAGAATAAGTAAGCTACTAGGATCTTGCTGGAGACATAAAGACCTTCAATCTGCAGGGCTTCCAAAGCAACAACAATTCAACAACTTAGAAGACTCATGACATCCTTTTCCCCAATATTACTTGTTTAATTACCATTTGCACCAGTACATCTTATGCTTTATATACATATATCTTAATTTTTGCTTCTTCAGCTTTTCAAATACATAATATATTATCTCCAGAATACTAAGACAATACAGAAGAGGCTCCTAGTTAGTTGTTAATTGGTGCCATGAACTTCCTTGGTTTGGGGAACTGATACATAGTTGAAATGACAGGACCTCACAATGATTTGAGCAAAAAAAGAAAAAGAAAACAAAAAGCCAACCAGCAGAGTCCATGACTTCGCTAGCAGATTACAGCCACCCACAAATTCAGAGGAGGCAGGGAGTTTAAGTATAATGAGACAGCAGGAGTGACTATGAAGGCAGGGGAGGGAACACCACGAGAGCCAGGGGATCAGGATTAAATGACTACTTAAAATACATCCAAGAGCAGTCTGGTCCCCAGTTCCACAAGTGGAACTGCAGCAGCTTTAGAGCTATTTTCAATAAATTTGCTTCCCAGAAGGATGGTCTAAGTGAAACTTTGTCTCCAAAATGCCCTCAGTGTAGTAAGAAGACAAAAAGGACAAGAGACCTGTGTAAGTACAAGGTGCATACGGCTAACTACTCTCTTTTAAAAACCTCACCAGGAAATCTTTGCCCAAAGGGAAAAATTTACTTGCACAGGTGTGCTAGCAGAGGGTATCCCAGTTACAAAAGTGTTGCTGCTGGCTGAGTGTTCAAAACAGGAAGAAGCCTTCCAGTGAAGTACCAAAACCCTAGTGTTCTGGTAACTGGGTACAGCTGTAGAAGAGTCACAGAGACCACCTTCCCAACTAGTGTTTTGGCTTATCAGCTAGCATGGAGGGTGGCTAGCACTGTGAGGTTTCCAGCCTGCCCGCGGGCTTCGCCCAGAGTTATCGGCAGACTTACACCCCAACTCACATCCATAGCTGCTGAAGACAGAACAGTGTCCAGATCAAAAGGCCTTAGGAAACTCTCTCAAAGAGAACAGCAGAGAACAAGGGCCTTCTACCTCTTTCTAACCCCCTAAACCACACAGGAAATAGAGGGCATTTGGGGCACATTAAAAATAAAAAAATATCCAAGTTACAAAAACCAGCTCACATCCCTAGAAAGTTAGCCTCAGAAGAAAAGCCACAAGAGGGAACACAAGTGGGAGAATTTCACTGCCACAGTTCTCAAGATTGGGCCTACTATACATCTCTTCCCCAAATGATAAGTGTGAGCTGAAAAGGGGAAGGAGATTGTCCCTTCACCAGAGAATAACCCACTGTCCCACCACAGTTCTTGCTGTGGCATAGATATGCAATACTTGTAACACAGTGCCAAGTCACAACACAAGGCCAGGGCTCAGGATAGTGATGCAGGAACACGAAATGCTGAGTGGTGTGATTACCTGGTTGTCATCTAGTGCAAGTAACTACCAAATTATTAAAACAGGCTTTTTTTTTTTTTTTTTAAAGCTATTTCCAGTTAAAACAGCTCAATGACAATGAGGCCTTTGCATGGGGCGGGAGGGAGGAAGGAGTGAAAATGAGAGAAGTTCCTCCAGTGAACCTGCAAGCCAAACAAGGAGCCTCGAGATGGGGTGCCCATCTGGAGCTACAGCACAATGGCAGCAGGTCTACTCAAGGACTTGCATGACTCCTCTCGCAAGAGCACAGGAACATCCAGCACTATCAGGAACTGTACCAAAGAGAAGAAGAGTAGTGTGTGCACGGGGAGATTCACTCCTCACTGCAGACGTAATTATTCAAAAAGGGTTTTGTGTTGGGACGAGACCTATCTCCTTACAGCTTCCATTTACAAGCTGCAGCCAAATGCAGCTGCCCCTCAGCGCTGCAGGCCAAGCTGCAGAGACTTGAGCCACCACTGAAAGCAGCCACAAAAAGCAACAGTCTAACCAGACAAAATTTAAAGAACAAGGAACCCAGAAGCACCTACCCAGCCTCCTCCTGTACCCACCTTCTTCAGGATTCTTGCTTTCCCTATATGGAAAGATGGGGGAAAAGAGCTAGGATGTACCATGTAACGGCCAAGTGGGTGGAAGAGATGAGGCTACCTCTCTCCTCCTTGCCCACGTTATGAGGAGTCAGTATGTTCTCTTTAGGTTCAGTGGTTTCACTGTGGGATCAAAAATAGTAAGTTTTGACTGAAGTGAAGATCTGGTTTAAAAAGGAAGGATTGTCCCGATTTGTTTTTGATTGAAGACTAGAGAGGTTTGTGCCCCCTCTGATCCCATTTGGTGCCTCTAGAGCCTCTTGGTCATCAGTTTGTCCCACTCCATTGCTTTGACCGTTCAGAACTGGACCCAGTTGGACTGCTGAGGAGCCTGATTGGGAACAGCACTGAAATAAAGAAAGGACAATCAAAGGAGCAGATCTAATAAGACTTCTTAACTTATGGCTCTTCCAGTGCCCATCAGGACACTACATTTCTTGTGTGCAGTTCCCTTCACCACAGTTTACCTTGATGCAGTGCTGAAGTCTCCCCAGAGGTCTGTGGTAGCTGATGCTGGTGCCGTGGATGCAGATGCAGGAGCATCTAAGTCTAATAGAATATCTAAGGCAGAAGAAAAAAAAAAGAAAAAAAAGAAAAAAATCAAGCTAATCAAGAAGAAAACCCCACAGGCATTTAAACTGTCACCTTACACAAACTGCTGGATGCAGGGGCAGAGAATCTTTGAAGTGACTCCAGCTCTCCCTCCAGAAGAAAGAAGTTAAGACTTTTTAAGGATTTTGTTATAACAGCAGCTCCTCTTGCTGAATGTGCACAGAGCCTCTGGCTCCTACCACAGGGGTGCATCAGCTTCAAGAACTATTCAGTCTCCACCTAGCATACCAATTGGCAGATTTGTGACATATTACCTCTCCCAGCAGAAATAAGGCTCAGACTCAGCCCAAGCTCAGCAATGATCAGGTGGTGCCTGCTTGGCAACTGTTAACAGTACAAATCACGCACTGATTTGTCTCACCACCCTCATTATAAAAAATTTCTTACTTATATACAATGTAAATCTACCCTCTTTCAGTTTAAAACCATTGCCCCTTGTCCTATTCACTACAGTAAAAAGTCTTTCTCCATCTTGCTTACAAGGCCCCTTTATATATTGAAAGGCTGCAATAAGGTCTCCCCGCAGCCTTCTCTTGTCCAAGCTGAAGAACACCAACTCTCTCAGCCTTTCTTCATAGCAGAGGTGTCCCATCCCTCCGATCATTTTTGTGGCCCTCCTCTGGACCCTCTCCAACAGGTCCATGTCCTTCCTGTGCTGAGGACCCCAGAGCTGGATGCAGTGCTCCAGGTGGGGTCTCACCAGATTGGAGTAGGAGAGAATCACCTCCCTCAACCTGCTGGCCACACTTATTTTGTGCAGCCCAGGATACAATTGGCTTTCTGGGCTGCAAGCGCACATTGCTGGCTCATACCCAATTTTTCATCCACCAGTATCCCTCAGTCCTTGTCTGCAGGGCTGCTCTCAATCCATTCATCCCCCAATCTGTACTGATACTGGTGATTGCCCCACCGCAGGTGCAGGACCTTCCACTTGGCCTTGTTGAACTTCCTACATATATATATATATGTAGGAAGTTAAACATATATATTTTATAAAATTATATACATATTTTTAAAATAACCCACTATACCCACAATCCCACTATACTTTGCACCTCTTTTTGCTGCTCATACTAAAGCTTCCTCTCTCCCTATTCAAAGCCACTCAAGAAGTGCTTTTTCTGCATCTTTCAACAACAACCACAAGTCTATCTATATTTTTCTGCAGAAAGCAAGTGACTGTGCAGTACTTTTTGGAACACCCTACGCAGCTCTGCCAGTGCCCCTAAAGCACATACAAGTTCAGAAAAATCCAACATTTAAATTTCATACCCACCCCTTGTCCCCCAGGTCATTTTGACCAAGTCACTTGGTTTCTCCTTTTGCAAGGACAGGAACTACAATGCTGTCCTCCTTGCAAGGAGAGCAAGCAGGTATTATTAAACAAGCATGGAGATCCTCAGGTCAGAGAGATCAAAGCCCTCAGGACACATCATGTCTCGCAGGGCACTGTTGGCACTAGATTGAACACCGGTTCCCTGAAGCAGGCCTCAGTCCTCTCTATGCACCTACTAGTGTCTGACAGACTGTTCGCTCTATGCTAACGTTTACCTGCACTGCTCATGTTACTGGATTTCAGCACGGGTGGTGGTGTGACATGGTTGGCAATGGCTGTGGAAGAAGGGGGAGGTATAGGAGGGACTGTGATTTTGCCTCCTGGTGGGGGTGGCAGCAGGCTTAGGCCCCCTGATCCAGACACACGGGGCTTGGCTGCTCCTCCTTTCTTTGTTGTCATGTTCTGTATAAAAAGAAAGGACAAGTGAGGAATAAGTCTCCATTGGCGTATCCAGAGAAAGAAGCAGGGTAAACTGGGATGCTTACCCCAATGTTCAGTTTGATGGTCTGCCCTTCCTTAAACCCTAAGTCTAATTTGGGACGTGTGTCAGCTTCCTGGGACTCCTTGGAGATCTCAGTCTCCTGCTTCACCCACCTAAAAAGAAGAGAGGAAGACATAAGACCCTGTGGCAAAGGAGAACAGGGTTTCAGAAAAATGCATGGTTCCTCTCCCCACCACCTTGCCTTGACAAACCAGCTACCTCCCTACTCCCCGTGTAGTACGGCAAAAAAACTGGGACCACCACAAACCCAGGAGACTAACACTGCACCTGTAGCATCACAGGACCTAAGCTTAAGACTTACAGATCTGACCCTGGAGATCTCAGCTTGCATGGCAGTTGGCAGCACACTCAAGTGTCCCTGATGGAGGCAGATTAGGGCTTCATGACCATCCCAAGGAAGCCTGCGCTAAATGAACGTTCACCACCACCCGCCATGTTCTACAGGCCAGAGGAAAAACAGCATTCCAGAAAAGCACAACTCACTTGAAGTGATCCTGCAAAGAGACGTTGAAGTCAAAGGCATCACCACGATCCGTGAAGCCAATGCCTATAAAAGCACTTCGTCCTAGCAAGGAGACAGGAGGAGTCATTGGAGGTGCCCTGCAAATGGGCCCTTCTGTTCATTCACTCCAAAATCCTTCTGCTTCTCCTAAACCACTCTGTGCAACCTCCCTCTAACACACTTGCAGCTGGACACCAGCAGCTTACAGCAGTTCATTGTTCTTAGCCTTCAGGATGTACCCTTCTTCCCATGCGTCACTCTCAGAAACTGAATGTTCCTTCTCAGCCCCTGGACTCTGTACAATGTAGAGAACCCTCCTCTGTTAATCTTGCCTTCCTACCCCTCCAAGTACACTACCCAGCCTTTTCAGCACTCCCAACACCGTTTCAATCCACCTGGCATACACCCAGCTCCACCAGGCTAAGTCTACTCCACCCCTACCACTTGGCACATACATGACCTCTCAACTCACCAGTCCCATCCTGAATTCGAATGACAAAATAGCGACTGGAATCTGTCACTGTCTCTACTGCAATGCCAGGATATTGATCTATAGGAGCCTGGGCGAAGAGTTCTCCTGCAGACAACGAATCGGGTGTTAAGGAGAGCAACCTCTTGCTAAAGCATGGCCAGGGCTGCCATGCACAGCTCCAAGCAGGCCTAGAAGCACAGGCTCATAAGCAGCAATCATCATCGCAGTCTTGCCAAGCCACAGCCTTTCCCTTACCTGAAACCTTATCCTCCAGTTTTATGTATGCAGTTTTGCCTTTGGAGGTGACACGGAGCCGCCCTGTCCAGTCCGGATGATCCAGTTTCCAGTCAGATGCCCTGAAAAGAAAAGCAACTGTTCACTGACCATACATCAACCCCTCCACTTCTGCCCAACCATCTCAGCAAGTGTCTCTGCTCCCAAACCTTCAACACCTGCGGCTGCCTTATTCCACTTCTCTCCCCAAACAATATATGATGTCTCAGCTCCTCTCCGTTGCTGCCAGTCAACACACATAGCTCTGACTGACCCTCTCCCCAGGGTATAGGGAACAGATACAGTCCAGAGAACATCAACTCTGTCTTTACCTTTATCAGCTTGCAGAAGAGAGGAGACCGAAACCCAGAAACTCACTTGGAACAGTAAACCCAAAAGTGACTAATAAGTGACTTGAGAGCATCAGGAAAAATGAATTAAAAATTAATAAAAATTAGTTAATAGCATGCTGAAAAGCCACTCCATTATTCTACCCTGTTGATGTAAAATAATATCAAGTCCCTCTGAACCTAGAGCCAGCTAGCTTACACTAGGTAAAACATCATACACACAGCCATCTTGACTAGTCCATCAAACTCTTTGCTACACACTGTTGTGAAGGGAAACAAGAAAAGAAAAGGAAAAAAAAAGTGAGAGAAAACAACCCCCAACCTACAGGATCCTACAACTGGAAACAAAACACCTGCGGCCAGGCGCAGCATCCACAGCGGCAACAGTTTGCCAAGTTCAGCGAGTACCAGAAACACCCATCAGTGCTTCAGAGCACAAACCCATTTCTTCTGAAAGTCTGCGGGCACAGCTTACAAACTCACACTCCACTCGTTTCGGCTAAAGAGAGCGAAGGCATTTCTAACTCCCGGTCCTGCAATCTCTTCTTAACAGTCACGCTGAACTCCTTCTGGCTTCCTCCCCGCTCCTGCGAGAGCCAACAGGCCAAATCCAACGTGCCGCTATACCACATCGGACTCGCAAACTGGGCAAATGGGGAGCGGAGGTCAGCTCTGCCTGGCAGCGCAAGCTGCTCAGGCGTTCGCACCTCCTGCACGTGCAAGGCTCCCGCTTGCAGGCACAGACCACCCACGAGAGGCGACGCAAGCCGGCACATCCCCCAGCGCTGCGGCCGGCGGGGGGTAAGGCCTCAGAGAACAGGCCTGACCTGCTTGCAGCCGCAGGCCACGGTCCCCCAAGGCCCCGCCCGGGGCGAGGGCCCCGCACGTTCCCTCACCTGTACCCGCGGTTGGAGGTGCGCGGCGGGATGCGGTAGACGTTGACATCGGGCTTCACGCAGAGGACGGACTCGTACTCCATCTCAGGCGCCGCCATCTCAGCCACGAATCCCGAACAACCTGGCGAGAGAGAGAGAGGGAGCCTAAGAACCGGGGGCGCTTCCGACCGCCATCTTTGATGAGGGCAGACACCGCCTAGGGGCGCTGGGGCGGCTGTGCGGGAAGCAAGGCACGTTGAAGGCGTGGAGGAAGGCATCTTGGATCCTGGCAGCAAAGCGCGGGGGCGGGGAGGTGGCCCTCTTGGAACCGGCTCTGACACAGCAGCGGGAGCCGGCGCCATCTTGAACCCTGGCAGTTCCCCCCCACGGGGCCTGGCGCGGCCATGTTTGGTTCGGGCTGATGATGCTGGAGACCCGGGCGCAGCCATGGCGGCAGCGGGCAGCGCAGGGGGGGCTGGCGCCCGGCGGGCCAGCGTCCTGGGTGCTGAGGAGGCCCTGAGCCGCCGGCCTCCCGCCAGCCCGGTACGCCGAGGCTCCAGACCACGGTGGCACCGAGCAAAAGGCTGGGAAGCCAGGGCTGGGCTGTGCCGAAGCGTGGGTCTGGGTTTTGTGCTGCCAGACGAGTCTGTGAGGGAGCTGTGGGTGCCTGCCTGCCCTCGGCAGCCGCCTGGCGTGCTTCTCTGCCGCCTTGCGCGTTTCGCTTTCCTGCAGCCTTGGGTCAAAGCTTGGGTTTTAAGTGGAAATGGGTTTTCGTGTGGCCTGTGGTGCTGGGAGCAGGAGGCCTTTGGTAAAACAGCAAACCAAAGAGAAAACACAGCGCAAACCATTACCAGTTTTGCAGCTAGAAGTGGCGAAAATGCCTGCTATGTAAAGGTTAATTTCAGGAGGGTGACTTCCTAGAAATGTGGCGAAGATAAGTGCACAGATACTCATTTATTTATCAAATATGATAAGACAAAGACTAGTAGCATTTGAACTGCTACTTTTTTAATAGTCAGTGACTTCCCAGTGAAGACTGGTGTTGAAGTGTACTGCTATGCAGTAGCCTGTGACCGAGTCTCTGAAAATACTAAATGTTTACTCTGAAAACTGGAAGAAAAGGTGTAAGTTACAGAGTTACATATCCACAGAGCCAGGGGTGGGCACAGCATGAGCTAATTGTTCTAGGAAGTAATTTAAGCTGTCCATGGAAGACCGAGCGAGCACAGTTTTTTGCTGAGGGTAAAGCAGAAAGTGAATGAAACAGCGCTAAGGTTGAGGAATTACTTATTTCTGGTGTGGAATACTGTTAGTTAATGCAGTGAGAGCTGAAATGGTATCTGGAGATTTGTTTCTTGCTGTTTCCAAAGATAAGTGGAACAGGATGGTAATGAACCTCAATCATAGCAGTCAAACAAGCTGTCCTTCTGCCAGGTCACAAGTCCAACCAGCCCAGCGTTCTATCTCTGACAGTGCCTGGTGCAGAAAAACTTTGAAACAAAGAAAGGGGGTCTGTGCTGCTGATTCCATAGATCTGGTGAGTGAAGCTATTTTGAAGGCGAGGACAGGAATAGTCTTGGGTTATTAAGACTAACAAAGTAGGATACTTGTAATTTAGCTAGCATATCTAAATGTAACTGGCCTAGCTTTCCGCAGAAATTATGCTGACAGCAGATACACAGGAAAGACGCGTGACTGGTGTGAGCTAAGTACCTGATCAGATACGGAATGGCATAAATGTGCAGCTTCCTTTTCCCCTTCCCCTCTGCCAGCTTGCTCTGCCTCCCTGCAGCGGGAGGGAAGGGCTGACACGCTCTGCTTTGCGGCAGATCTTGATGTCCCAGGGAGCAGAGGCCCACACTCTGCTGCGTGGGTGCGCTGCCAGGCTGCACGCTGGAGCAGACAGATACCTGCCTGGGAAGAGAGATTTGAACCCTTTCATGCAGCCTGCGCAAAAGCTAGTAGGAATACATGGCACCGATACTTAATGCAGATATAGGCCACGGTGTAAGAGAAGGCTCTGCCTCCCTGCTTGCAGTATGCCAGTGGTACATTGCTTGCCAGGCTGCCAGAGTTAAGGCAAAGAGGTTAATGAGAGGCAAACCTTGGAGAAGAACAGAGGTGCTTGAAGAAAGCCTATAAAACAGTACAGAATTACACTTTCCTGGTATACTAGCCTAGCAATCTGTAGTGTAAGGACTTTGTGGGCTAGGGGTTTGGTGTGCATTTGTTAGCAATGTTTTATCGACCTTCCTTCTATGCATTCATCTAATTGCTTTTCTTAAACTTATTTATACTTTTGGTTACCCATGTCATCGCCGGAGGCAGGAATCTAATTGTGCAATATGGAAAAGTGTGATTTTTTGTTTTCGAACTTCTACCTGATTATTTCACTTGATACTTCCTAGTTCTTATAAGAATTCATGTGTCACCTTCTCCATGTGTCTCTCATACTGCCATAGATGTCTCTTTCCCAGGGTGAAGCATTCTTGTCTATTTAGCTTGTCCACCAGAAGCCGCCATTCTGAGCCATGGCTGTCTAGGCATCACTTTCTGTATCGTTTCTGATTCTATAACGGTTTTTAAGATCAAGGACCATCGCAGCATTCAGTATTCAAGCAGCAACTGAATACTTCGCGTTAGTGCGTGTTGACGTGATTTTTCATAGAACTTCCTGCAGTGACTAGTAATTTTTTTCTTTGAATGGTAATAACTTATCTGGAGTACATCACTGTGTATAGTTATGGTTGCTTTTCCGAATTCAATAATTCACAACTAGCAATATTAAATTTTGCCTGTGTCTTTATTGTGCTGTCATTCAGCATGCCACAATCCTCCTACAGTTCTTCTAGAAGGAGAACATCTCAGACGAGAGAGTGGCAAAGGGCCAACTTTTATAAGGCATGTGAGGAAAGATGCACAAGCAGCACCAGGACATCAGGAATACATCTCCCATTGAATTCCACTGAGACTTAACTGGCAGAGAACATAACATTCTTCTGTCTTTTTCAAACAAGCATCTCTGGATGATGAAAATACAAAGCACTGCCAATAATAGCTAACATTTTTAAATTTTTTTTTTAAAAGGATTAAGCAATGCAGTTGAAATATTGAAGGAGAACATATTTAAAATCAGACTATGAAAGCAATGGAGGATCCATATTCTTCCCACACAGAAATCTTCAATGAATGAAAACTGAGGAATAGCAGAAATCTTGGATGGAACACCACAATGTTCCACAATATGAGGTGTGCAAATAAAAAGGCCTACGCAAGTACGGTAAAATGCACAGTTCATGCCAATCCATAGGTAGCCTGATAATAAACCATGCAGAAGGATCACTTGGGCTTTTGCTTTGCTTTTTGCTTTGGTTATTTAAGAAAAAAATAGGGCGTTGTTCAGGAATGTACTTAATGGAGGGACCCAACATTTGGAATTTTCCTTCTCTGCGCAGAAGGTACAGGGGAAACCAGTCTCACAAAACAAGTCATTAAGTGACTTAAAGGTTAATCCCAAGATGAGCATTTTTACAAAACGGTCCAAATACTATTTCAAATGGTGCTTCCTTCACTGAAAATGCCCTGGCAAAACATCTGACCTGAACACTCACCCAGTACTGAGAACCTGTTATTGCGAAGAGCTACTTTTTAACTATGTATAATCTATGTATGTATGAGTTTTGCCAAGCTGTGTTCCGTGCTTGGTGTCCAAAGCTTGTGCTTACCTGAGCTTGCTCAGCAATGTACAAAAATGTCTTGGGGTCATTCAGTGGATTTTCAAAAGAGGAGAGTCTGAGGAAAACCAGTGCGGGGCAACCCTGCAGATACTTGATGTCACTGGAGAGTCCCTATGAAACTAAGTGCACAGTTGTGACAATGAAAAGAAGTGCATAGGGAAGACTGGCCACCAGACCACTGCAGTATGCTTTCTAGAGAAACAGCTAGTTATGGCTAAGCTTTATAGGGAGACTTTTGGGCAGGTTTTTTTTTAGGAAGATGGATTTGCCATAAACACAGGGAACATTCAGGGTCTGTGAGAGATCATAGCTATCTAGTCACTCCACCTGCAGAGAAACGAATGGGAGATCTGAGAGGGGCTGCAAAGCTTTGTAGAGCTGCAGAAGTAGTAGAAATATGAAATACAGGTGGAATTCTCAGTTCTTGCCGAAGTGTTTTGGAGACAACCTGCATACTCTTGCAGGAGGGAGGCTTTTCTAAATATATTGATCACATTTTTAGAATTGTATATGGGTGTAACTATTTAGGAATTGATAGACTGGTGCAGTTTTGTAATAACAAACCTGAAAGGGCAATATAAATGGTAACTTGCATTAAGGTTGTAGTCAACTTGTTGTGGTGGCCAGTTGAGTCTATACATCAAGATAAACTTCAACATGAACATCCTCGTAGACAAGCTGATGGAGTATGGGCTAGATAAGTGGACAGTGAGGTGGATTGAACTGCTGGGCTCAGAGGGTGGTGATCAGAAGAACTAAGTCCCATTTAATGGCAATGGAGCCAGACTCTTCTCAGTGGTGCCTGGTGACAGGACAAGAGGCAACGGGCACACACTGAAACACAGAAGTTCCATCTGAACACAATAAAACATTTTTTTACTGTGAGGGTGGTTGAACACTGGAACAGGTTGCCCGGAGAGTTTGTGGAGTCTCCTTCTGTGCAGATACTCAAACCCGACTGGACACAGTCCTGGGCAATCTCCAGCTAACCCTGCTTTGAGCAGCGGGGTTGGGCTAGACAGTCTCCAGGCGGTCTTCCAACTTCAGCTATTCAGTGATTCTGTGAATTAGAGCCTATCTAAGCTAACTCAGAATGTTTATCAGGAGGGGAAGGGAGAGATCCAGAAGACAAGAATGCAGTGTGGTGATTTGGGATTACCATCAAAGCTGCAAGTCAAAGGTCTGGTCTGATTTAAGTAACCATTTTATGAAAGTAACAAAATATCTTTTTTCCTCCTTGCACCATCTCCTTTGAGCGTCTACATCATTAGGCCCTTTATGCTATGTCCTGGTTTCAGCTGGGATGGAGTTCGTTTTCTTCTTAGTAGCTGGGATAGCGCTGTGGTTTGGATTTAGTATGAGAATAATGCCGATAACACACTGATGTTTTAGTTGTTGCTAAGTAGTGCTTACACCAGTCAAGGACTTTTCAGCTTCCCCTGCTCTGCCCGGTGCACAAGAAGCTGGGAGGGGGCACAGCCAGGACAGCTGACCCAGACTGGCCAAAGGGCTATTCCATACCGTATGACATCGTGCCCAGTATATAAACTGGTGGGTGTTGGCCAGGGGGCAGGGATCGCTGCTGAGGGACGGGCTGGGTGTTGGTCAGTGGGTGGTGAGCAATTGCATTGTGCATCACTTGTTTTGTATATTTTTTATCATTATAATTATCATTATTATCATAATGATAATTATAATTGTATTATTATTATTATTATTATTATTATTATTTATCTCGACCTATGAGTTTTCTCACCTTTACGCTTCCGATTCTCTCCCCCATCCCACCAGGAGGGAGTGAGCGAGCGGCTCTGTGGTGCTCAGTTGCTGGCTGGGGTTAAACCACGACAGCTGAAGTGCAAAATGCTTCACTAGTCAAACTGCTTAAAAGGTTCTGGAAACCTATACAGAGAAGTGCCACATCATCTCATCACTGTCCAGGGTGAGCTGGCTGGACTAAAGATGAAGTGCTTGCTCTGACAAGGTTGGCTGCAGGGGAGAGGTTTTAACAGATCAGAGCCGGCAAACTTGGGGAGAAGGACCTTCTTACAAAGGAGAGTTTGACTGGAGCTAGTGAGTCATAGGGTGGTGAAAAGGCTGCACATCCCTTGGCCAACAGGAGCAGTACCCTCCTATCAACAGTTTCTGCCTGGGTCTGAGGAGTCCCCCAGGAAAGATGGCAGCTGAAAATAAGATGCAGCTAGAGGAATTGTCCTGACAGGCTGCTGACAGCCCATCCATTTTTGGGGGTACAGCCCAGCCCTGGCCTGCCTTCCTCTTTCTGGTTTCATGGTTTTTGTGTTGGAGGCAGCATTCGTGTGTTTCAGGGAGACATGCTTAGGAGCAGAACTCTGCTCCATCTGGGTTAATTTTCCAGACCAAAACCAAAATACCAAGGCTAATTCTTGGATGTCTGGGCTTTGTCATTTCTGCTAGCGGTCTTGATTTCCCAGATTGGGAGGGGTGAGCAGGAACCCTGTTGTTGCACATTTGAAATGCCTTGCCCTAGATGTCTTGTCTTTTTATAGTCTTTCCACATTTTGTGCTATCAGCATTTCAGTTAACCACTACTAACTTTTCATCAGTCGAGTTCCTTCTTTAAAAAAAAAAAAGCCAACAAGTCCTTAAATACCCTGAAAGGTCAAAAATCAGATTAAAATCCCTTTGACATGACCAGTTATGGTTTGCTGAGTACAATGTTCTGTATTTGGTGAACTAAGCTGTCTCAGCCTGGGACAGAAGCTGATCTGGATTGCTAAGAATCCCAGAAATGGGATTAGCTAGGTGAATGTGGTGATCTGATGAAACATGGAAGTGGCTACAAGACAACAGATCAGACACCTGATGGTGGCATGGCAGGGTTTGGAATTATGAATTACATCAAGCAAAGATCAGTGTTATGCCAAGAGGCAAGACATCTGATTCAGTTGTCTTATGGAAACTATAGTAAAGTATATGTCTGTGCCTATCATTCCCTTGCTTTCTATTATTCTTTGACTCAGGGCACTATTTTATTTTGATGGTGTTGAGACAGCTTCTTTTGGCTTGACTGTTTATTTTATTAGCAGATCATATCTAAAACTTCAAATATGAGTGTTTCTAAGCTTTCCTTTTAGGGTGAAATACTTTGCACACATGTGCACATACAGGAAAAAGGCAGTTCCTAAAATGTCATGTGAGTTTCTTTTTTCAGTCACTCCAGAGACAGGACTGATGGTACTTGCTCCCTGACACACCAAAAGATCTGCTTCACTCAGGTAGGTATAATAAGCTGCAGAATTCTGCTTTCCTCTCCAACTTGCGGTTTCTTATTCTTCACTCCTGAAAACCTCTCTCTCCCCTCCAGTTCCCCCTTCAGTCTTCAAAACCACATAGCAGCCCTTTTAGCACTCTTGAAAACATGGTCTGGGCAGTATCTTCTTACTGATTCATTCCTGAGTTTGCTTGGAGTAGGACCTGTAGGTCTTTACAGCATTCCTTGATTCCCTGTCCTCTTCATACCATCTTCTGTAGCTCTATGGGGAGGCAGCAAGATTCAGCTCTTGCAGCACTGTTCTCCAGTTGTCGCTGTAAAAGTCGCTTCTGCATATATCAGCAAGACCATGAGAAATGGAACAAGCTTGTTAGAATTTTAAGTGCCCAGCTGCCTTCGAGTGACTTCTTTCATAGCTTTCCTTGGAGGTCACCCTCACCTAAAAGCCTCTTAGCAATTGTTACCAAAACCTGGTAAATTACAGTGTTTGTTACAACTGTTTATCTCGGTTTCTTCATGGTGAAGCGGTTCTAACACTTATGCATTGCTCCACATTTAGACTATATGTTATGCAAGAAAGAGATTGATGATTTGGAATATATTTTTTTTAATAATATTGATATTTAGTCCTGCACATAACAGTCCCTGACTGGCATAATAGAGGTTAAAATAGAATCAGTCTGGGTTGTCTTATTCATTCTCCTCATTTGCTTCTGCAGGCTGTTTTCAGCTCTTACCTATGCAGTTTCCTTGCATTCTGGTAATGCTGTTAGGGACCTTTCAGCAACACAACTGTCTTTATTGATTCAGCAAGGGTTTAGTTAACAGGGATTTTATAAACAATTATATTAATGCCTAAAGGATGAAGACCAGGCTCTTTTTCTCAGTTCTATCTTGACTTTGCTAGATTTCCTTTCCTTTCCTTTCTAAATTTACTAATATCTAAGTCCAAGAATAATTGAGCAATTAAAGTTTTTCCACTACTGTTCTCATAGTTTTAAAATGTCACTTAAGTATTCTGTGGCTCAGCTTCAGTGTCTTGCAATAAGACACTTTTTCTTGTATCTAAAACGGCTCAAGAACATTACTGCTATTACTCTGTATTTTAGTTTCTTTTTTCTACAACTAAATCTCTGTCTGTTGTTCTTAAACCATTCATTTCTTGCCTTTCTTGTCATCAAGACTAGCTTTCTAAGGAACCAGAAGAGAGCTCAGAACAAAAGCAGGGGGAAGGAAGTGCTTACTGAGACTTCCCTAAAAAATACCCCATAGCAAACAGAGTTGCAGTCCTGTCTATTTATAATGTCCAGAGAGTGGAACAGGGTTATTTCATTTAGACAAGCATTGCTTTCTCAACCTAAACCTATTTCACTGGTTATGCCAGAAGAAAGCACTCGTTTTAAAGGGAAAAATGCTGACTTACCTTTCTGAAGAAGAGAATGGTATACAAAGCTGGAAATCGATCAGGAAAGACACCTGGTGATAGTGTGGGCATGTGAATAGAGAGCTCCACTTTAGAGTGGAGACTAAAAAGAACCAGGCTGAAATCAAAGGGGATGACAGATGATAGGAGAACTTAAGTGCATATAACCCCTCAGCTTGAATAGTGGGGCTTTTGTAGCTTAGCCACCATGAGAATGATGAAGGTTTATAGTGGTCACATGAGTAAGCTTTTAGCACAAACTGGTGTAGACTGGTGCCTTTGTATCCTGACAGCTCTGTACTGTCACCTGACTCAGAGGTGCTTCGGTACAGATAACGACAAGAATTTGGGGAGGAGGGTGTGAATTGCCTACTAATTTGCTTTCTGTTTTATAGCTACAGAATGCCTCAACTCCTGAGTAATAGCAGTTCACATGAACAGGCTGCTATATATTATCCACCAGAAGCCATTGTCTCCATTGCTATCTTCATCGTCATTTTCATCATAGGTATCCCGGGCAATGGGTTGGTGATCTGGGTAGCTGGTCTGAAAATGAAAAGGTCTGTGAACATTGTCTGGTTCCTAAACCTTGCTGTGGCTGACTTCATGTGCTGCTTGTCCTTGCCATTTTCCATTGTTCACCTGGCCCTCCATGAACACTGGCCGTATGGTTGGTTCCTCTGCAAAGTCATTCCGTCAGTCATAATCTTCACCATGTTTGCTAGCGTCTTTCTACTCGTGGCCATCAGCATTGACCGATGCCTCCTTGTGATGAAACCTGTCTGGTGTCAAAATCATCGAACAGTGAAATTTATATCACTAATATGCAGTGGCATTTGGATCCTGGCCTTCGTTTTCTCTTGTCCTGTCTTTCTCTACCGTGAGACTAGCACTCATGATGGCAAAACTGAGTGTGGGTACAATTTTGGAGATGACAAAGATTATATGGATGATTCTGTAAATGGGCTATTGGGAACATACTCACCTTCAGCCTACAATGACTCGTGGGGAAATTTCTATGAAACTCATGATTATTCTGTATCCCTTGCCTCAGTGGTAATAAACATCACTAGGGCTGTCTTTGGCTTTGTACTCCCCTTTGGCACAATGGCAGTTTGCTATGCCCTTATTGCTTTCCGAATGCGTGCAAATCAGTTTCACAAGCCACACAACAGGATGCTGCGAACAATTGTGCTTGTGGTAGCTGCATTCTTCATCTGCTGGGCTCCATACCACGTAGTTGGGATTCTCAGTCTTGTACCTACTCTTGGGACAGGACTGAAGGAGTCATTGGTCCTCTGGGATCACCTCTCTACAGCATTTGCATACGCCAACAGCTGCATCAACCCCCTGCTCTATGTTTTTGTGGGACAAGACTTCAGGGCAAAGGCATGGCAATCAGTGCAAGGAATCTTGGAAGGTGCCTTTACTGAGGAACCAACACGTTCGACACCTTACTCCCTTGACAGAAGCAAGACTTCAACAGAGAAGGACATTAGCAGCACAGTGTAATGCAGGACTTCCCGTCACCACTGTAGAAAGAGCGACCTGTGGCCCTGCACATCAATTGCTCTCCACATAACAGCTTTTTTTGCTCCTACACATTTGATTAATCTGCAGATCCACACACGGGGCACCGAGGCGATTCAGATCCGAACAGCTAATGCCCTTTACATCCTGCTCTAGAGAGATGGGAAGTTGGATGTACCAAGAGGGAAGACTTTGGTGAAGCAGGAGACACAGAGTACTTTAAAGAAGAAAGCAGGCTTGCAGAATCGTTTGTGGTGGGATCATGTAATCTAACCTCTGAATTGCTAGAAGAGAATGTCATTAGAGTTATTTGCATGTGTCTGTGTTCTACATCTCCTGTCTCTGATAAACTGCAGATGAAACTACCTTTGATGTCTCTCCTTGGAATCTGTCATCCCATCGTTCCTCTCCTTCGACAACACTTGGGGTCTGAGGGTTTTTTTCTGAAGATTTCCCTAGAGGGTAGTGCTACATGTTATGAGTGCAGTGCACGAGAACAGCACTTGCCCAGTCAGCTGCATTGAACTGACTTCCATGCCCTGGTAAATGCCCAAGATATTTCTTTGTCCCAGCAAATACGTCATTGTACGGTAGTAACTGGTCTAATGCACATGCTGTAGCTATGTTTGTTAGCATGCACTCACTGTCTCCCTAACACTCCCTCCACCACCAGAGTCCCAAATTTTCCTTTTAGGAAGTACTCCAAGATTATCCAAATGTACCTACTGCATGTTAAGATGGCACATGAGCAGAATTTGAGCAACTGCTGTCATTGATGAACCAGATTAGGTGGCTGCTGGACTATCAGCCATTTGGTAAAACCTTGGAATTGAGAAGTGATAACCTCTAGTCTGACCGCAAGAAGGTGGCGAACGAGCCTGTTGCGGCACAGTCATGTCCTGCTCTCTACAAGAGAGATGTGCTTCTCATGTCTTTCTGGTGGAGGAAGATAAAAATTTCGTCCAGTCGGGCTGGGTGGGGGTGTTTCCCAAGCTTGAATGTTCCCCATCCTGAAAAGCTGAAGTATGTTTACTGGGTACTCTAAAGAAGTGGTTTAAAATCTGCTTTTTGTGGTCAACAAATGGTATGACAAACAGCCAGTAAGCATTGGTATAGTTTTCACCTTGCCTTTCTGGCAAGCACGAAGTTGAAAGACTCACTGATCTCAGTGCCTTGAGAACAGCCAGCTGTGAGAACTTTCAGCTTTCTCTTGACATCCTAAAAAGCTTCAGTCGTAAAGTACATATAGGTGTGGGCTGTTAATTTACCGACGTCCACACCCAAATTCTGCATCTAAGGTAAGCAGGCGGGAACCGAGCCCACCGGACAGGCGCCGCTGAAAAAAAAATTCAATACTGGCACCAAAAGAGTTAAACCATAAACATTCACTTTTTCTTTTTATTAAGAAAGCATGCACAAAAATAAACTCGTGAGACCACGCCCCTCTCTCCCTGACCACTGACATGAAGCACGGGGGACCACACCACGCTGGCGGGGCCTGCAAGAGCCCCGCTCCGGGACAGGCTGGCATCCCTGCCCTCCCTGCAGGCCGGTACCCGCGCACCCTGCAGAGCTCCACGCCACCCACCCCGTGCCTTCTCACGCACTAACAACGCACATTTATTTCAGGGGCAGAGGAACGAGGCTAATTTGCACACTGACCGGCATGTATTTACATATGCAAATGAGGCGCAACTTAATACGCAAATGAGGCAAATACGCAAATGAGGAGCACTTGGATACGCAGAAGGAACCATCTTGGTTTGTTTTTCTTCCGGTGGTGTTTTCAGACTTCCACAGGGCTGGCTCTCAGTAACACCCTCTGCAAAGCACTAACTGGCACCTACCAGAGGTTGTCTCTCATGGTTGTCTCTGGTGCCACCTTCCACAGAAACCCATCACATGCGCTTCCAAGCTGTATCGTTCCCATCCTGAGGCAGCAGAGAGAACAGCTGACTCCATGTTGAAATTGGCTCTGGGATTCCTCATTTCTCTTGGAACACTCAATGATGAACTCCCCCCCCAAACACACACTTAAAAAAGGAAAAAAAAAAAAAAAAAAAAACAAAAATGCCCCCCCCCCCATACAACGAGACTCTGTCCACTTCCCTGACAAAGATCCAATTGGTTTATCCCTACAGCAAACTTTAAAAGCAATGCTAGTTCCCCACCTTCCTGCAGTCAGAGTAGAGGTTATTACTCCCCTGCCCCAGGTCTGCCAAGCAGCCATGATGTTTTATTTCCATCTTGGTTCCCTTCACTGGTCAACAGGAAATAAGGGCTGGGCGGAAGCTTTACAAAACGTTAAGAGGAAACAAGAGGTTTGACAGAACAGAGCCATACCAGAAAAAAGGGGAACACAGGACACAGCTTTGGGGAGGAGGCATCTCAACACTCACTCCTGCTCCTGCACCTTTTCCACCTTCCTGATTTGCAAGTGCTGACAAAACTCATCCTTCAGGATTTACACTAGATTCCATCATCCCCCCAGCTGAACTGCAAGGGCTCTGGCCCACCCTCCTCCCTTTTACGCTATACTCCTTGGCTGTTCGGTTTAAAAATCTGCCCCACTTCGTCCTCTCTCTTCTAATGCACCTCTTACAAAAGCCACTTGTGAGGGCCTCCCAGGTACTTGACCAGAGGGTCCAGCCCCTTGACCAGAAGTCCCCTAATTCACCTCCACTCTGAGCAGCAGCTTCCTCTTCCCACCGTTAGCCCGTTCACAAAGCGGGAACCACGGACTGACAGTGCGCACCTATGCAGCAAGACTCCTGTTGCTGGCACACCCCAACCACAGGCAAGGACAGTCTCCAAAGAAATATGAGGGGCAGAGGGCCAAATAACAACTGAACCAATAATGACGGGAGAAATCTTCCAAATTTGCATATGCAAGTAAGAGCCTCACTACATATTTTGAAGAAGGGCTGGAAGAGGTGGGGGGTGAAATTAAAAGCTCTGGGGAAACAGAATTTGCTGAATCACATGTGGCACCCCTGACCACTTCTTTTACCTGCTGGGTATGTAGGCTTCACCTGGAGACTGCAAAAGGCAGTGTAGAAAATAGGCCAGGATTCCCTCAAAATCTCTCTCAGTCCTCACAGATGGCACTGCATTCTGAAACCCAACTTCTCTGCGGAAATACCACCTCTGCTACATTCTCCTTTCTCCAAACTCAGGTCTACCCGCCCAGCTCAGCTCAGCTCAGCTCTCCCTACCTCAGGGACTACCCTCTCTTTGTACTCGGGAACTCTACTTCTTTTCTTGCTTTTCCTGCTGGTGCGAGAAAGTTCACAGAGCTAAGATCACCCCTCCAGTGTCCTTTTAGCCCCCCGACCTTTACAACATTTACGAAACAACATAACTACAGGCTCCCAGGGTCCACTAGGCTCTCTCACTCCAGTAGCCAATACGACAGATTCACCGGCCACCTTGAAGGGGAAGAGGGATTGTTAAACGCAAAATGATGGAGGCAGAGAAAGATGCACTCGAGGATTCAGCCTTCCGAGGTCTTTTCATGGCACCAAGGACCCATCTTTCCGCCCTCCACAGGGCACCATGCAACACGAAAGAGCCGATCTGATGCGCTCGAGGCCACCAGCGGAGGGGGAGGCCTGTGCTCACTTATTGGTAGTAATAATAATAACAATAATTATTATAATAAACAAAAGAAGAAAAAGAAGATAAAACAGGACGCAAGGAAGGATTATCTTCGGCAGCATCTTGCGGTGGCTTCTCTGGCGGAGATAGAGAATATATATCTATATACAGGCAAGGCAGGGAGGCTGGGGAGGGTGGTGCTGGCACCATTCACCCCATATCCCCCTGCCCTCCCGCGTCCTTCACAAAGGACGGGCTATCAAGTCTGTAACTCGCTAGGTGATCAAGTCCCAGTCGAAATCATCGGGGATTTCCTCATTGGCGCCTGGAGGAGGCCCTGGAGGCCGAGGGACCAGATGGTGAGCTGAGCCAAAAACAAGAAAAAAGAAGAAAAAGGAAAGAGAAGAGTTAGAATAATAAACGTCACGTTTTTTCACAGTGGGCCCTTGGGCAAAAGAAAGCATGAGGAATTCAGGCCTTCTCCCTTCCAACAGTCTAACAAGCAACCACATTACTGGCATGAATTTCTCCCTGTCAGACAGCACCTACCAATGTCTGTAGGTGGTCTGCTGTGAAATCCTCCACAGCTGCTTCTACAGAGGCTAAGTTTCAGCCTCCTTAACTTTCCTTACAGCTGACTGCTGATAGAGCACAAAGGATTTCATCAACAGAAGCTTCTCATGTAAAGTTGCCTTGAAGCAATCAACTGAGGGTGAGGCTGAGCTAGAAGACTATTTACTTGAGGTGAAAGAAATCAGGCCGCTGAAATCCTAAACCTTGCCAGAGCTATGGCAGAGCCCTCCATGGAGGGTCCTTCGCAGTCCAGGCTCCCTCACTGCTCCGTTTGATTAGTAAGTGCTTTGGGAGAAATGCACAAAGGGCTTGGGAACCGGTTCCTTAATGTTCATTGGTATAATATGCCTTAATGTCACCCCTTACCTGGGCGATTATATCCTGGAGAGTCCTGGGTGGAAATCTGGTACATAGGAGATGGCCCGGAGAAAAGATGGGGAGGCTGGGGCTGACCATAGGAGTTCACTGTGAAAGGAAAGGAATTATAAAAAAAAAAAAACAACAAAAAAAACCCCCAAACTATTAACGTTCTGGTTAGCTGTCTTGGCCCTGACTGGGTGGCAGCTCAGCCACAGAGCAACTCACTCAGACCCATGGGATACTGAGGAGATGTTCAGCTGTTGGGTCCTAAGTCCAAGCTATAGCTTGGTCAGGGATCCTGTTCTTGGAACCAGCAGGAGTTTCTCTATTATTGTAAAAGAAGAAAATTTTCATCCAGAAACACCACAAGCTGGCTCAATATCATCCATTTAGTTCAGTACTAGATGACACACACCATCACAGTTGTATCAAGACCATGATATCTTCTGTGCTCTCCTCAGAGTGCATCCTCCTACTCCTTGTCCAGTCAGTATTTCTCCAACATGGGTGCAAGAGCTTTCTTCTTTACAGCACCTACAACTCCTGCCATTTGGAATAGTAATCTCTCTACCTTGCCATTCTTTTCTGTTGGTCACCTACAAAAAACACCACCCCCTTCTCCTTTTATGGGTTTACATTTAAATGTATCTCTGCCTGGAGAGGTTGCCTGTCAATGGTATGCATCACATAATAACAGTCTGTCTAGGCCACAAACATAGGACAGCCTAATTATTTAAAGCCAGAGGAAGCTGAGTTGCTACGGACAGCTCTAACAGCCCAGCCCTGAGTTGCTCGGTGCTACATTGCCTGGCAAGGCAGCAAGTAGTTTAGGATATTCACAGAATTGGGCCTTCATTTACATGTCATTTTAGTCTCCTTCCTAATTACCTTGGTTCATGGATTGCTCCTGTTTGCCACTGTTCAGGGCACAAGAATCAGAGATTCGGGGGGGCTGCTGTGGGCCAACCAGATGAGGGAGCTGACCAGTCTGGGTAAGGAAGTGATTAAGGGAGTCACAGAGGTTGGCAATATGGTGTTGATCCAGCGTCCAGTTCTTCCGCTCAGCCTGGCGCAGACTCTCCATAAGCTCTGCAGGGGACAAAGGACAATGTCAAAGACAGCACTCACACTGTGGTCTTCCCTGCAAAGAGTTTCTGTCTTCTACCCCTAAATCCTACCTTCTCCCCACAAACCCAACTTCATTGCTTCGAATCTGTCACCAAACTCCTGGAGAGCTCCATATCTAGGATACTGTCTCACTGACTCAGGTAGGGGAGGGAAGAGTAGGAGGGAAAAATCTCAGTTAGCTTTCTGATATACTTTTATGAATTAATTCCCCCTGCCCCAAATTCTTGCACTGTTCAAGCGCTTCAGGGTCTTTCACAGAACCCATGAAGTAGGACACCTCATTTTACAAATAGAAGAGTTGAATCACTGAGACACCCATGTACTTGACAGAGTTACATTGAAAAAAAGATCTGGGCACAGCATTCACGTATTCTAGACTACAGCCCTAGCCACTGAGTCACTAGACCTAGTCACTAGGCCAACACTGACCTGAGAATTGGGAGTGTTCAATGCTAGACCAGTTCAGCCGGTTTACCATCTTGAAGCTTTCCTTCAGGGAATCGATGTTGGAGCACCAATCAGGGGGAAATGCTGGAATGAAATGGGGACAAGATTATTCCAATACAGACCACCTTTTCCCTCCACCCCTTAATATAAAATGATTGGCCCCTCTTCACCAAAGAGCCTGATGCTACAGTAGCTAGAAGTCCTTTCTCCCTTGGAAGACCGGGGATGGTGGCTCCTTTTTCATTTAGCCCCTGACTTTATCCTGCATCCCTACACAGAATCCCAAACCCAGTGTGGATGCATCCTCCTTTCCTTCAGTAAGGAAGCAATTTCCCTCTCAGATTCCAGTCATAACTGGCTTTCACCCTTTTCCCACACACAATGTAGGCACTACTTAGGGAAAGCTCACTTGCGGAATTTCTGTCTGGGGGCTCCTCTCTGCTCCCTTTTCCCCAGCTGTTCTTTCCATCACCCCTGACTCACCAAAGCCAGCATTGTTGATTGAAGCCTGTGACTGCTGCTGCTGCTGCTGGTGCTGATGTGGCTGCTGCTGTGGGTGGGAGTGCGGGTGATGTTGTTGATGCTGGTGGTAGCCTCCATGCTGCATTGGAGGTGGGTGCATGGACATCACTGGTGGAGGGCCATAACCTTCACCACCCTGCTGCTTTCCCCCTTGGGATGGGCAACCCTCTGGGGTTGGAGTGTGGAGTGGGGGAGCAGCACCCACTGATGAGGGGCCTTGCTGCTGCTGCTGCTGGTACATGTAGTAGTTGTGGTTGGAGGGCTGCATGTCACCAAGGAGAGAAGAGAAACCTGCCCAGTAAAAGAAAGAGGAGGGAGCTTTAAGAGCTGCCTGGATCAGACCTCTGCTTAAATTATCCATCTCTAATTTCACACTGCTCATTCTGCTATTTATGAAGCTTTTGGAGTGCCCTCTGCAGGCTGCCAACAACTATCACCTGCACAGCTGTGCCCTCAGTGTGCTCCGGATTCTGTTCAAAACAAGAGGCTCTACAACAAAGCTCCAGCAGGATTTAAAATTCTAGTACAGTTAGGCACTTAAATTCCTCCTTGGATTTTTCCTGTGTTTTCCAAAGTAACCCATGTTCTCCTGAAATTTCATGCACATGTGTTTTTTTTTTTTGTAGAAATGACCATTAAGCAAACTTAAACAAAAAAACATTTAGAAAACAGATAACTTGATAACCTGACTTGCTGTTTCCAAAAGCTCCCTTCAGTTCCCATCTTACAAGCAGCTTGGTCGGGAACCTTCACAGTTTTTCTCACACAGCTCATTAGAGGTCACAGATTCTACTGCTTTTGTACACACAGCACACTGCACGCATCAGGGCTCCTTTATTACTTTCATTCCTCCTGACTCATGAGGAGTGTCATTTCTATCCTCTTGTATTTCAGGCATCCCCTACATGCAAGAGCATCAGGTATTCTCCATTCTTCCCCACATCAGGAGCTCAGCGTATCTCTTATGTCCACTTCCCTGGTTCATTCTCCCCTTATGTTGTGGAACCTCTGGGAAAAATCACAGTGAAGGGCATTACATGCCACTAACCTGGGATACCCCTTTCTTACTTTCAGTGCCCTTACTTGACCACCCGCAAGCAAGCCTCAGTTTTTCACTAGATCCAAAATCAACCCTTAGGGCACCGTACTACTTCAATGGGGCAAAAGGATGAATACTGCCACCCTGACTCAAAAGCTGCCCACAAAATTTCCTCAAAAACTGCAAGCTTTCCTACATTACCTTACAGCTGAAGACTTGGGGAAAAAAACAACAGACTGCTGCTAAGCTTTTACAAACAGGGGCACACACTGAGTCAAGGCTCTTCTCTACATTTTTGTAGCTTGCTTATTCTACAACACCTCACACAACAGGCTCCTACTAGGAATCTCAAGTGCCAGCATGATGAAAGCAGTAAAAGTAATACATTTTTATTTCACTGGAGCTACAAGTTCAGGAGGCTTCTCCTAGAGCAGCAAACTTTGCCTGCACTGTATGATGGTTGACAGCATAGGTCAGAGGCTCATCTAATAATATACTCCTTTTTACACCAGACGTTTAGAAGAATGTTTAAAGGTAGGAACAACAACCAAAGATTTTTCCTAAGTGTTTTCCGTGGACGTCTCACCTCATCCCTACAGTGATTCTGCCCTCTGGTGGCTACTTCCTTAATCCCAGAAATGCAAGCTATGAATGGAGTTGTAGGCTCTCTCTTCCACATTCTCAATCCACAATGCTCAATTCTCCAAGGCCTTGTACACTCCTAGTTTTAACAGATCTGAGCAACGACGACTTTCCACTCTCCTTTTGGAGAAACTCCACATGCAACAATCCCCTCCCTCTTATGGCTCCTAGCCTGACAGATTGTGAATACTTCTCCAACATGCTTTTCTTGAGGACTTCATTTCTCTAAGCTTCTGCCATTTTAGTATTTGCTTTTGTATCAACACAAGGTATTTTTAAATCATTATCCTCTTTATTCTGAGAGAACTAGGGGGAGCAATAGATAAAGGACATGCAGATTTCTTATCTGCTCCTGGCAGAACTAATTACAGCATGCCAAAGAAGGAAAGTCTGTTTGCACAGGCTCCTAAATGAGGAAAGATCTGAGAGATACCAAGGATAGATCAGTGGACAAGACTGTGTGGGCAGATACCTGCCCACCCCACATGACGCATACAGTTACTCACCGTGCTGAGAGGAAGATGATTTCTCCAGCATGGATTTGTAGAGATTTCGGAAGGACCAGCTAAGATCCTGGAAGTTGATCTCAGAGTAGGAGAACTTGAAGTCATGGTTGGCACTGTACAGCGGGGGTGGCACATCGGCCCCTTCACGGCCCTGCCCCCCTGCTACAGTAGAGGCAACATCCACAGGCCCTGCACCCTGCTAAGGAAGGCAGAGGTAAGGCCTTTAGCTTGTACTGGGTTTTGTAACTTGAGAGAGGAATCCAGAGACTAGATACAGGTAGAACATGCACTGATACCCCATATCACTTAGCTCATCTCCCAACGAATCTTCCCAAATGCCATTCTCCTTGAGGAAAACCAACCACCACCCTCCTTCTGCAGCACACCGGCTCCAGCCTTTTCTTCGGCTATCTAATACCATTATGCCTTTACCCTTATCCTCATCCAGCCCTTTGTTAAAATTAACTTCCTCCTTATTTTCCATCTCTGCAATTTCAGCTTCTTCCCTTCTTTTTATTTTTGCCTCTATATCACCATTTTCACGATTCCCTCTCTTCTCACCACTTCGCTTTTCCATTCACGCACTCCTCCCCCTCTCGTTCCCCCACCCCGCGCCATAAGGCTTCTATCCTTTTCCCTGCTGCTCACCTGACTGTAGTTGGCAATAGGGGTGGTGCTCTGGAGTGACAGCTGAGGGGTGGCCTCAGGTGGCAAAGAGGCTTCTGTGCTGACTGGAACAGCCCCTCGGGGGCTTTTATTTGCCTCTTGCTCTGGGGAGTCTTGTGGTATCTGTGGATGGGGAAGGAAGAGAAAAGGAAAGGAGCAGAAATCAAAAACAGATGGAGAAGTGAAACTGCAGATGGGAAGCCAGCTCCCCTGCTGTAGAAGTTCATGGCTTAGAAAAGAGGAGGACTGGGCTTTAGTCACTGAAGAGTCAGGATAAAGGACTTTAAACAAGATTAACTTGCTACTGAACAGCAGCAACAACAGCCAGTCAGCAGGATGCACATGCTAGTTCATTCAGTCCTAGCTTTTGTCTCCCCATCTGTACACCCTGCCCCCAAAACAATACCATGGTCTGGTGCCGGAAGGACTCCTTGGAACAAGAAGGGAATTCCCCCTCCTGCTCCATGCTGTCTGGAAAGAACAACACTCACGTCATCATCTGGAGGATGCCGCCTCTTGCGAGATATATCTGGACACGTATCTATTGTCCAATAAGAGCCCTGGAAAGAAGACCCATTGGTGAATGCATGATTAAACCAGAGAGCTTCCTGAAGCACAGGGTTACTGACTCAAAGAATGCAGCACTAACTAAACATTAGGACCACAAGGACCACCCTCCAGAACATCAGACAACCAAGACTTGAGTGTTGGAAAGAGATTCCTCTCTTGCATTGGGTTGTATTGAACAATGAGGTATGATGCTACTGGTGGAAGGCAGAATGCTCTACATTTCTATCGCTCTGAGACAGGACACCAAGAAGAGCAAAGGATGTTTTGATCCAAGCTAGGCCAACTCTTTTAGGCCTGCACACCCCCTTCAGTACCTTCCTCACAACACGAATTTGTTATTGACTGATGAGAACCAGCTCAATGTTCAGATTGGGTGGAGACAGCTAGAAGGATCATCCTTTTCCCATGCTTGTGAGACTTCACTGAGTATTGTGCTCATTTGGGGGGTTGCCAGTGCAAGACAGACATGGATGTGCTAGAATGCATCCTAGCAGGAGCCACCATGATGGTTAAGAACGAAAACACATGATGTATAAGCAGTTCACACAGAGATCTGTTTAGCCTGGACAAGAAAAGGGATCTAACCACCATCTTCAACTGTGTAAGGAGATTATAAAGAAGACAGAATCAAACTCTTCTCAAAAATGCACAGCACAAGAATAAGAAGCAACAAACACCAGTTACAGCAAGGGAAATTACAATCAGATATAAAGAAAAAATTCTTCACAATGATGGTGGTGCAGCACTGGAACAAGTGCCCAGTTGTGGTATCTCCATCCTTGGAGATATTCAAAACGCAACGAAGACCTCAACAACCCAATCTAATTGTCCCTTTCTGGGCAGGCGGTGCGTGTTGACCTCCAGAAGTCCCTTTCAACATAAAATAGGCTATAATTATGTCCGTTGCTTTCTGAATAAGTATAAAGAGAACTCTAGAGTGTGATTTAGCTCATTTTAACCTCCAACTGAAATCTGAATAATCAGTGACAAGCACAGGACAGGTTTTCATTATAAACCCAGTCCAACATGCCAATGAACACCTGTAAACATATACACTGAAGTCAGTTAGGATTTCCTGGAATAAGCCACATAATCAATGGTATTTTTGAGCAGTGATCTTCAAAGATATACTCCTTCCATTTATAGACACCAACTGAGCACCACTTAGTCCTTTAAATATAACCCGAAATAAAAGGCCTGAGCAAGTGGCCCTTTCTGGTAACTTTAGGATGGGGGGGAAGAGACAATATTCCTGCTTAAATACATAGCTTCTTGTCCCCACCATCTCCTTTTGCTTGTTTGTTTGTTGCTTTTTTTTTTTTTAACACTAATAATATCTGCATGCCAAGTCTTGGTTTTGCTAGCAATTCCCCTTTACAATCTATATATACTAACAGAGCTTTATTAGCCCTTACTTAGCCAACAAATTCCTAAATTCCTGAGTTTTACTTGTAAACGATCTCTACAGATTTGAACTATCTGATGGTGACGGTTTTTTCCCAACATCAAATGTTTTGCCGTCTAAATAGCTAGTAGTTCTGCTCTCACTTCCATGGATCTTGCCTCCATAAAACCCATGATGTCACATCATAGTCCTGCTGTTCATCAGCAGCCACTACTATGTCTTTCATAACAGAACAGGTTGGACTAGACCCACATTTTACACATAAAGATCAAGAAGAAAGAAACAAAACTAATAAAATACATTCAACCCCATTTTTTCCTTCTTCCAGTATCTTTAAAGTCAACTGAAGATAAGAAAAATAATTGCTAAAACCATTAAGGCCCCTTTACAGGCTCCCTTTAAGTGAATGCTTCTGTAGCCAAAGCACTGCAGTAAATCTTACTACTGCTTCCATTTTTGCCTACACTTTAGGTTTCAAATTCCAACCATGAGTTAGAAAGGGCAACCGGCTTATTCCCTGCAGTTTTAAATTGCTTGCCCAGGAGCATGCAGATTTCTTACCTTCCCAGGATCATCTCTCGGTCGAGGCACCTTCCGAAAACATTTATTCAGAGAGAGGTTATGACGAATAGAGTTCTGATGAGAGAGTAAGAGATACAGGTAAGTGCTACAACAAAAACATACAGCCTTCTGACAATGCCCGGGAGCAAGTAGAGTAAATAGAAGAATGGTGCATACTCAAAAGCCGAAGCTCACTACATATACCCAGAATGGAGCAGAACAGAAGCTGTGGAAAGGAGAAGGATGGATTAGGATGAATAATATGGGGCTGAGCCACCTATACCTCTACAGAAACTGGAATAAAAATAGTATTAGTGTGATGCAGAGGTTGGTAGTGACGTGAGTGTTGTGGGAGTTTTTTGGTTTGTTTTTCTTGGTGGTTGTTGGTGGGTTTTTTTGCAGGTTCCTTCTTAAGGGGCCACCACATACCTACAACAAAATTCTCACAGAAAATGGTACTTCTGGCTCTGCATTTTCTCCAGTTGGTCAACTTAGTTTCACATCTGTCTTTTTATTTTGCTCAGTGAGGATATTTTGCACAGAATTAAGAAAATAAGTCTTGTAATTAGGCAAAAAGGGTACTTTAGTGATGCAATTCCTCACCTTCCAACCAATACCAGCATTTTTGTAGTAGGGAAAGCGTCATCTTCTTGGCAGGTGATGAGTTGATGGCATATGTGATCAAAGTGGCATAGCTGTAACGTGGCTTCCCATCTTGATGCACTGCAGCCTCGTCCTTACTCAGGGTGGCATTGGGATCTGTTGGTGAGCCTGGGGGACACTTTCGGGCAGCCCCTGGAGGTCCTGCTTGTGAGGAACCCCCTAATTTTTCAATAGTAGCCCTTAGAGTAAGCTGTGGGAGCCAGTCTATGGAAGTGAGGCTGCTTTCCAGGTCAGAGGCCATGATGCTGGAAGCAGGAATATCTGTTAGGAGAAAGGAGCAGAAAGGGAACTCCTGAAATATAAACAAGGGGAATCCTAAGAACGGAAACTTCCATTTGCATTCCTCCTCTGCTTCTCCCCCTATCACAAATACCTGTGTGAAGATCATCCTACTTCATATACCTTATTCACAGCCAGACAGAATCATCCAAAAAGGCCTATGACTGTGTCTCTGGGAGGATCATCCTTGCTGATAGTAGCTGGGACAGTGCTGATGGTAACATTGCTAGGACAGTCTTACCCAGAGCATCCCAGCTGTTCCCAGGTAAAGAACTAACATCTATTCAAAGAAGTGGAGCCTTTTCAGCAGCTGTATCATATTCACTCCTTTACTACATAAGCAATATAACCTTCACCAAGATTACCTGTAATCCAGTAGGTTTACTGTGTCAGGTAAGAGGAAAATCATAGCTAAAAGGGAATATTCCCTCCTGCCATATACAAACCACAATTTATTAGATCATCTGGAAAAGTCAGGACTGTGACTATCCTAATTTGGGGGGAAATTCACTTCTCTGTAAGGCCTAGCCTGTCTTTTTGCATCAGGTGACATTATAATGAATCTATTCCTTAGAGCTAGGATTACATATCTCATTTTAAAACACCAAGATCATGCATAATACTATATATAGATAATTACATCTACCATGTCGAGGTGGAACAGACTATATTAAGCTCGTAATAGTTAAAGCTTTGCCTACCATAACCCATTTTTCCTAAATATACATATCATTTTATTGAATTAAATCTTGCTTAATTCACAATATAACAGGGAAGTATTTTCTCCAAATCTGAGACACAAGAAAAACTTACTTGTCCAAAGTCACACAACAAGTTTGCCACAGGGTGGAAACAGACTCGGGATCTTTCCTCTCATAAGTATTACATATTTCTCCTCATAAAAATAAAACACACCTGTCCAACATGGCTAGCACTTGTACCCAGGGTTTTCTACTTAACAGTTATTTTATATGAAGAAAATATTTACCAGCGTGAACTGGTATGAACTTGTACACTTAGCACACAAACTTGTATGCTGTCTTTTGTAATAGTCAAGGCAGCAGAAAGATCATCATTCTTACTCATAATTGGCTGCATCACTATACTAGGAGCAATCCCTTGAAGTCTGGACTGAGGCAGCTAAGTTTCCACGGTCACAACCTGCACTGCTCTGCACTTATTCTTTGCATAAAGAGAAGAACCACGTCTTGAAGGGCTGCAAGTTCTGCATCTTTCATTTTTGAAATTGATCTTTTTAGAGGATTAGGTGATACTATCTTTGAGCATGCTAGTGCATACAAAAGGTAAATGCACAAACACACAGGCACATACTTATGTACACACTCATGTAACAAATTAAACGCATACATGTAAGAGAGAACAGACCGACACAAACACACTCTGCTTAGGAAAGATTCATCAGCAGACACCTCCCACCAAGTGCATCACTCAGATGAGTGGATTAGATGAAACAGGGAGACACCCATCTGCATGAATACCAATTAGATATTCATTCTAAAAATAGGTATTTGACAATAACACAGTGTGGATGCACAGATCCAGAGACAGATGCACCCAGCATTTTGACAGAGAAGCTCCCCGTTCTTCCCCCACAACCATATGCATTATACCTTGCACTTCTGCACTGAAGTGCTCTCACAGCACGAAAGCACTTCAGAGCCTACACTCCAACATGTTTGTACGCACTAAACCTTTCATTTTCATGCATGTGCTCATCACACCTCTTAGGGCTCAAACACCTACACAATACCCCAACAAAATCCATCCCTCAACCACCACAAGCAGTGGCTCCAAAGCCCTGGGCTCAGAAAACACCTCCTAATTGCTCAGCCAACATTATCACTCACGCTCATATGCACGCACAGACTGAAAAGTAAAATTGCAGCACTACAGTATCTGTAGCGAGTGGAAACATTTTTCTGTATGTGGAGGAAAGGAAAAGCCCAACTGCTACTAACTTATCTATCTACTCATCTGCCACACTATCACATATGATAGCGATGACTACTTGCTACACAGCTAACTAGACAATCCCAGCTGCAACAGGCTTTCCATTATCTACCCTCCTCAAGCTGTTGTTTATTGAATATAGCTCTTTTTGGCTGAAATGATCTAATCTCAAACATTTTAAATTAAAAAAAAAAAAAAAAAAAAAGGCAGCACTATTCCTTCCTGAATTATACAAAGGTAAAGCAACAATGTATTTTTATCCAGTGGGGAGGGACAGACCACTGAGGTATCCATGTAACTTAAACACAGCTACATTTGCATGGTAACTCTACAGGTACAACCCTCGCTAAAAGTAGTACTCAACTTGCGAGAAACCAAACACGAACTAAATATCAGTTGAATGCTTTACTTTGTAAGTGTGCCTCATATAAATTTTAATTTCCACAGTGCAATCAGAGAACAAATTACTGCTGCTTATCACATGCATGTTAAACCATTATGAAATATCAGTTGTGCTAACAATACAAATCCAAAGTAAAATAAATACAAATTTCCCAGCCGCCCCCCCCCTTTGTTTTTTTAAGACAAGCACAGAAATCAAGAAAATTAGGTTATAAAAGCCTATGGCAGATTAAGATACAAATCTGAAACACCAGAAATTCAAAAAGCAGAAGAAAACACTGCAGTCTTCACAGAGCTTCAGATTTGCCCAGGTTATGTCGGTAGAACATTTGGGATGATTGGCTATGCAGTAAAATGCAAGGTTGATATGCAACATGCCAATCATCAAGTACATAAGCTTTTGCCTATTTGTGTAAAATATACTTGTCAGGGAGACAAGCAAGGTTAGAATTGGGTCACATTACACCCACACTAAGAATCTGAATATTTTCATTCCCTGGTTTATAAAAAATCTTTGACAAGAAAACAAAATTCCAAAATCTTAAATAAAAAAAAAATCTGTGTATACATATGCACTAGTCACCCAGTACTGAAACAACTACTCTTCCGTAAAATACAGCAGCTTTTTAAGAACACATACGCTAGACAGTAATTTAGGACAGCAAGTGAAGACTCAGACCCAATAACAATCACATGGGAAATTTCAAAGCAGTGGAATAAGACTTCTTTCCAAGTTTAAACTTGATCACGTTACTGGATTTATAACCCTGTATCCTGGCAAAACGGGATCTGTAATAATCAGGCATAGTCAAAACTCAGGTAGGGTGGCAATTCCAGAACATTGTCAGTGCAAAAATAATTTGGTGTAATTGGCTAGTAAATTATTTGAAAGAATACTTACTATAACAGTAACACTTGCTATAATTTGTGCTGCATATCTCATTCACCTAATCCAAGCAGTACACCAGCTTGACACTACTTAATGGTATGATAAAACAAGACTGCAGCCAAACCAGAGCAGCTGATGATTCTTCCAACTTTCCCTTCCCAGTTTATTGCCTGGCAAATCTTCTTTCAAACTTATGATCCCACTCAAACAAAGGAAAAAAAAAAAAAACCCAACAAAAACCAACTAATGACTAACAAACACTTTGAACTGAAATCAAGGGTGTTTAAAAAATCCTACCAGATTAGCAAGCCAGAATTAACTTCGAAGAGGTAAAAAGAGAGTTGAAGACCAGAATTCGTAATCTCCAACTTTACATTGTAAATGGTATCTGTTTATGTATTTGGCTGACTTTAAAAACCAAGGGTAAGGTAGCCAAGTCATAACCAGCATCAACAGCTGTTGACTGCAGAGTCCTCATTTCTCAAGCACTAACTAGTTCCAGTGCAACCCCAAGTCAAGGCAGGTCAGAGAGATGCAAAAATGACAGCCAAGCACTGATCCAAAACTACAATTAAACAGACGAGAATCTGTCTAATTCATAAGGAAAATATATTAATCATTAAAGAAAATCCTAGCACTGAATACCTTTTAACAACCACTAATTCACTTGGGACTAGTAATACTTCACTACAGCTTTCCAGGAAAGCTACTGCCTTACTTTGAATATTTGCAACTAGCAAATCGAACCTCAGGCTGAAAATGCAAGGCAGCCTTCTGTCTATCAGATTGTACTATCCCTGCCACTGGACTGAAGAAATCTGTACTTTGCCTGCCCTGCTATTTTGCAAATGCTTGCTCTAAGCCAGTCAGATCTTATCCAAGATCACTGCTACTTATATATCAGGACTGAAAAAAATGTATGAAATGTGAGGAACAGCACTCTAAGGGTCATATTGAATGCAGTTAATAAACATTCATAGCCTAAAACTTCTCTAAGGCTGAACTCAAAGGCTGGCCAGTCAGAATCAGTTATGACTGAAGCAGAGAGTCATACAGTGAATGAAACCATGCTGTGCACAGCCTACAGAAGACACATATTCTAGAATAAATCCCAGTATTTACTTTCGCTGTTGCTTTACTTACTGCTATTCCAATCCAGTGAAACACTACTGGCAAAACATTCAAAGGAGACTCAACTTAGGTTTCTCAACATAAACTTTGAGAAGGAAGAAACGCACAACAACCTACCAAGCAGTGAGAGACATTGCTGTAGAACACATATAAAAATAAGGCCACTTCTATTTAGGTGCCTGAAACACAGATCCAGTGATCTAACTAACAACATCCATCCAATATACTCAGAGATACACCTAGCTTCTGAGGTATTTAACAAACAAAAAAAAATCTCAAACCCAACAAACTGGCAAAAAAGAACCATTTGACTGCAACCTTTCTGAAACACAAAGGTGAGTGGGATGTCAATTAGAGGAAACTGCCTCCAAAAGTAAAGAAGAAAAGTAACACGCAAGAATACCACACACATCGAGAAATGGACAGCTTCTACTTTGATGGAAAAAGGCAATTTTGACATACTTGTGTAAATTATACATGCAAGAAACCTGTATTCTTATGTCAATACAGAAAGTAGAAAAGAATCAATTTTGCTAACTCTGGCAGGAAGAGAAATTTGCCATTTTTAGACGTGTG